CGGCTCAGCCGCCAGCCCGACCGCAGCAGCTCCTTTTCCCCCGCGGAGCAGCGCCCGGCCCGGGGACTATGGGCACCCTACAGGAGCGTCGCGGTCCCCGGGCCCCCAAGAGCAGCAGGGCCAGGACTGAGAACGAGAAATGTGGGAAGTCGCTAAAAAAGAAGCTTGTTAAATAATTTATTGATTTATACAAAGTCTTTCCAACACGTGTGGAGACATTATTTGATCCCAATGTAAAATCAAGTGTCCATTTTTCTCTCGTGCTTTTTTTTTTGGGCGTTGTTTTGGTTTTTGGTATTATTAAGCATAAAATCCGGAGGCAGGAGAAATGAAACCGCCAAAACACTGAGGGACAAGGAGTGAAAGAAAACTGCCGTTTTTACACTAGAAATATACATCACGAAATCTGAAATTTACTATATACAACGTGGCTGAGCTTGGATTTGGAGACCCATAGAAAACGTAACAAAACCTGATTGTTAGGTGCAGGAGACCAGCAGGAAGTCTAAAGGAAAGAGCAGGAATCTTAAAGGGACACAAATAAAACCCAAAAAGTCGGAAAAATTTCTCTGAAATTTACATCGATGAGAAAGAAAATAATTTCATAACTTATTCTGTAAAAAATATATATACATTTCACATACATCTCAGGCTGTACAACACACCACTTCAAACACCCAGCTACACTCGCCCCATCGCGGCCATCGGCCTCCTGCCCTCACAAGGTGTCCGAGCTGGTGCTGCAGGGGCTGACAAGGGACAGGTTCGTGGATTTGTGCTTTTTCAATAGCCTTGTGATTTTTTCGTCATCTGAGTTGGGGTCCAGGGGCTTGTTGTATTCGTCATCGTCCTCATTGTCCGAGCTCTCCTTCAGCTTCTCCGTCTCCGAGTCGTGCTTCTTCTTCGCCGAGGCCATCTCCGCCGCGTGTCTCTTCCGCCACTTGGTCCGTCTGTTCTGGAACCACACCTGGGCACCGGCAGCGGGCACGGCTTAGGAAGGCCTCGGCCCCGCCGCGCGCCCGCCCCCGCCCGCGCCGTCCCGTTCTGTCCCGTCCCGTCCCGCAGCGCGGGCCCGCACTGGGCAGGGGGTGGCGGGGAGCAGCTCCGGGGAGGGGACGCCCCGCTGGGGACACCTGCCCAGCTCTGAGGGGCCGTCGCCAGACGGAACTGTGCGGCGGTAAAAGCAGCAGCTTTGCAGAGCAGTTGTTAATTTGGAAACAGGATACGATGGGCAGGAAAATAACTATTTTTGGCTCCCGATGCACCCCAACGCTCAGATGTGCATGCAGGCTTTGCTAAAAAATTTGGGGGGTTACATAAGGTAAAGTTGTGCCAGCGGACACGATCCTCGTGGAAAAGTGACCTGTCGAAAGCAATTACCTGCGAGGGGCTTTTTTTTGGTTGTTGTTGGGGTGAGCTTTTTAAAATATATTATGTCTGTCTACATTAAATCGTTTGCAGCAAAGAGAGCTCTAAAAATTGGCCTAAAATCTATCCGATACCGAAATATAATTTAAATTCTAAAGGACTTTAAAAAAATCCCTGTACTGTTGCGTAGTGTTCGTGGTCACTGGCAATTACCGAGACAGCAGAAAGCAGCCGCGGCAGGGGCAGGGAGCGGGAGAGGGGGGAGTCCGCGGGACGGACCTACCTTCACCTGGCTCTCGGTCATCCCCAGGGAGTAGGCGAGCCGAGCGCGCTCCGGTCCTGCCAAGTATTTCGTCTGTTCGAAGGTTTTCTCTAATGCAAATATCTGCTGCCCAGAGAAAGTCGGTCGAGAGTGTTTCTTCTTGCCGTCCTTGTCCAAAACCATCCCTGTCTGAGCTAAAGCCGGAGAAAGAGCTGCGTCAGGGACGGGCTCTGCACCGCTCCCGGCCCAGAACCGGGCCCCGCCTGGCGCTGCAGGGGAGCGGCCGCTTCAGGTATCCGCCAGCCCTAGAGCGGGCCTCGGTGCGGGACACGCCGGGGGGCCGCGGGGGCCGAGCGACCGGCACCGGGCCTTCCTGCCTGAGCGCGCCGCGCCCGCTGCCTCGCTGGGCCCCCAGCCCGGTCCACCGCGCCCGCCCGGCGCTCCGCACCCAGGCCACCCTGCTCGACCGCACGGCGAACAGAAACCGGCTGCACTTTAACCGGCACAAGGCGAGCCGTTTTGGGGTCTCTCAGGGAGAGCCTTGCAGCCACTCCGGCACAGAAAAATGGGCGGCCCGCCCCGGCAGCTCCGCCAGGGGTTTCGGGTACGCGGGAGACGGCGGCCGGGGGCCCTGAAAGTAAACATCCCGGCCGAGGCCGCCAGCCCGTTGATGCGGGGCAGCCCACCCAGCAGGTTGCTGGCGCTGCCCACGGGCCGCCCCAGGATGTCGCTTATTCCGTGCGGTGTCCCCAAGGGGAGCTGCGTGTTGAGTCCGCCCAGGGCCGGCGCCTTGAAGCCGGAGGGGTTCTGCAGGGCGTAGGGGAAGAGGGAGGTCTTCATCTCGGCCATGTTGTGCAGCGCGGCCAGCGGCGCACTGCTGAGGACGAACGCACTCTGGCGATTAGCATCCATCTGCCCCACCGCTAACATCTGCGGGCATCA